GGCAGAGAGAGAGAGAGAGAGAGAGTCTCTCTCTCTCTCTCTCTCTCTCTGTCTCTCTCTCTCTCTCTCTCTCTCTCTCTCTCTCTCTCTCTCTGCCTGCCACTTTCAAATCGCAAAGCGGGAATGATTCTTTCCGCGAAAGCGGGAATGATTCTTTCCACGAAAGCGGGAAGATTCATTCCCGCTTTGGCTTTCCGAAGCCGTTCGTTTTGTTTTTTTTTTTCTTTGTTTTTTTTGGTTGTTTTCTTTCCTGTTTTTTTCGTCCGTTTCGCATGGACGTTCGGGATGCCTGCGCCCGGTAGTTCGAGCCTCGGCACGGTTCGGCGTACCAGTCGGCCGAGGCTCGGACTCGATAGCTGGGCCAGGTACTGGTGGTTTAACAGATAGTTTGGAAATATGGCTAAGAAACAAAAACATATGCACAATTCAGAAAACGACTCAGACACCCCCAATCTCTGGCAAGACTTACTGCAGTCGAGCCACCATCTCTGCTGTTGTACCCTATTCACCTTCTCCTTCTCCCACTCACCTCGATCTCTTGAAAAAACGTCTAAGCAATACGGAAAGGATGGGAATAGACCGCATAGGTCCTGCAAATGCTCCAAAACCCTCGAAATCCCTAACAAACCCTTCCAAAGCTCTCCAACACTGTTTTACCCCCTGCCGAGCTCTTCCAGGCCTCACGCCCCCACATCCTGCTGGGTTACAGGGCAACACAACTCACCCCAGCTCCGACCAGTGTCGTCCCAGCAGCAACCCTTGGTCGTCCCGTGGAATGCCCACCCCAAAGCATCCCCAGATCTCTCTACCAGGCCTCACTGCCATGCTTCTGCATCAGCAGGTTACAGGGCAACACCCCAGCGCCGTCCAGCGTCGTTCTGGCATCGAACAGCCGCAACTTATTGAGCATAACAACATCGAAGCCACCTAAGACAAAGTTGTTAGGAATCCTCAGAGTCCTAAAACATTCTTAAGACTACCCGGCTTCGGCTAAAAAAGATAAATGTGTACAAGAGCACTAAAAAATTCTTGTAGTCTTCAAAGCTCGGATCAAGGAGCATTCAGAACGAAGGAACCTCCTACTTTACAGCCTTTCGGCAACCCACCCCTACCTGCCTCACCCCTATATCCCGATGCCAAATCTCTACCCGGCCTCATGCCCCCAACTGCTAGGTTACAGGGTGGCACAACCCACCCCAGAAACCCCCCCACCTGCTAGGCCACAGGACAAAGCGACCTGCCCCGGCTCCGGCCAGCATCGGCTAGGCGCCAGCTCACGAAAAGACACTAGAGTGCCTTCCACCCTCGACAACTCCCCAGATCTCTCTACCAGGTCTCATGCCCTCATACCGCTTGAGTTACAGGGCTGCGCAACCAAACCCCAGCACCGACCAGCGTCGTTCTGGCCTCGTCTATTCGCAAACCACCGGGACTGGACTAAGGCAAATACCAATCAAGCTACCATTCAGCACCAATGATGTAGACCCCATCATTCATCTTGCAAATATCCCCCAACATAACCTTCTCAACCCTACTCCGACAATTCTTACTACGGTGAACTCACCATCTTCACCGTTGCTGTACCCTATTCAACCCTACAGGCTAGCCCCTTCACCGCAGAGTGCGTTATCTCCCACCATCACAGCTCCACTACCCCTTGCCTTCAACTCCAAAACCTTGGAGGAATTTTCCAATTAGGAAAACAAAAATCAGAAATCAAAATGTGGTCATTATGTTTAGCGCCTACTATTCCCACGGGAAGAAGGGAAACCCCATGGAAAGTCCAGCGTCTCTTAAGGTCTCAGTTACATGTACAGGGGTCACAAACACCAAAGGGATTACTGCTCTACCCCAAAGACAACCCCCTGTCTGTTCACTGCCTCCGCGGGAAGGCGCCCCGTCACCTCCCCGCCCCAGTTCAGAATAGCCCCCAGAATACCCCTCCTACTCCCCCAGTCGCATATAGTACCCCCTAATGTATGCCCTCTCAGAGTCGAAGATCCCCCTGCCTTCCTGCTCCACCCCCTCCAAGCGGAACAACCCACTCAACGCTCACCCTGCTGACATCAGCACCCATTGTCCTCTCTCCTCAACCGCCATAGTTGAGCCGACCCAAAATCAGCGTGGCCCAGAAAAGGACAAACCCTCAATACCGTTCTTACTCTCTCAAGGATCACACCACCCACCTTGTGTAACCCTCGCAAAGAAAGACTCCAACCCTAAAGGAGATAATTCATTCAACACCTATGACCCAGATCCCACAACACCACGAACTAAGACCCAATTATTAAGAACAACGAGACCAATTACTTGAGTAGTCACTATTTGACACATCTCTAAAAAAGGAGTTTTAGGCATCTTTCTTCAGCGAAAGACCAACGTCATCATGTGAGAATTTCAAATTTGAGCAAAATCACAGGTTTTTATCTACAAAATCAAAATACGAATTTTAAATTTGAGAAAGTCGAGTGTAAGACGCATCAATCATAGAAAGCAAATCACGAATATTCATGTACAATATCAGAGTAGGAATTTCAAGTTGAGCAAAATCACGGGATTTCAAATTTGAGAAAGTCAAGTGTAAGAATTTTTATGAGAATTTTTATGAGAATTTTTACGAGTCAAAGACCTTGACATTAGAATCGAATTTATGAAAAACAGTATGCAGAAGTTCAAAGAAGAAATTCCAAGAAAACAAAATATGGATATCAATCGTAATGAGTTTGATCACAACA